TTCTGTGATACAAATTTCCCGTTTTCTATGATAATCTACTCTGGAAAATATATTAATATTTCCAAAAAGTCGATAATCTACTTCCACAAAAAAGTCGATAATCTACTTTCTAAAGTAGATAATCTACTTTTCAGAAAGTAGATAACCAACTTTCCCGGAAAGTAGATATTTCCCATTTTCTATGATACAAATTTCCCGTTTTCTATGATAAGTAGATAACCAACTTTCCCAGAAAGTAGAAATATTTCCCATTTTCTGTGATACAAATTCCCGTTTCTATGATAATCTACTCCAGAAAATATGTTAATATTTCCCCAAAAGGGATAATTTACCTAACGAAACGTCGATAATCTACTTTCCCGAAAAGTAGATAACCAACTTTCCCGGAAAGTAGATATTTCCATTTTCTATGATACAAATTTCCTGTTTCTATGATAAGTAGATAACCAACTTTCCCAGAAAGTAGAAATATTTCCCATTTTCTGTGATACAAATTTCCCGTTTCTATGATAATCTACTTCAGAAAAATTAGGTAATATTTCCCCAAACGTCGATAACTACTTCCCCAAAAAGTCGATAATTGCGAACTTTTGAGAATAAGAAAGTTAATAAAGTCATTTTCTCTTAAGTTCGAACCTACGACAATTAAAACGATCGTAAATTCGTATTCTCAAAAGATCGTAAGTATCTACTTTGTGACGTAGATTTTCTACTTTCGGTTAAGTATAAAAATTGGCTCTTTTCATTTTGCCTTGGAACCCTTTGTTTTCAACGTTTTATTAGGATTATTATAAACAAATAAGTATTTTTTCATTTATACGACACATTGTTACTATACAAATATTTGTTATGATTTCGGGATACTAGGTTACTGCTAGTTGCTGCCCTGGTACTCACAACTCCCAGGTAATACAGGGGTCCTGCTAAAGGCGACTCCAACCTGACTGGCGCGTAAAGGGCTTCAGTGTACCTGGTCGACGTGTTTCGCCGCCTATTTCCTATAGGGGCTGCCAG